TGAGAAACAAAACTCAGTTTGAGCAAATTGATTCTCCCTGATTATACTTTAATAATGAAACTGCGGGCCTTCAAACTGACATCTAAGTATGGTACTTTGTGTTGCATCTGGTCTTTTTTCAGTGTAGTCAGCGTACAAGAAGTGCTAACAGTTAGTAGCCTGCAGCTTAAATCCGCATATTAACTGTCTGTAAGTACAGAACATTTTTGAACCAATAGTCAATACAAAAAAGAAAACAGGCATCTATAGAAATAGAAAATGTAATAGATACTTAAGTAAAGCCACCAACCTGCTGTGACTATTAGATCAATAAATAAAAGGTACAAATGAAACTACTGTGCACTGATTTTACCTTGACGAAGTTAAGGAGCTCTGATGACACCAGTCTGTAAAACTCATCTCTCCTCAGCATGTCAGAGGAACCATCCCTGCCAGCATAGGCCTTGAACCCAGACACCAGCGCATTAATGGCCAACTCTTTTAAAAGAATATACTGAAGTTCAACAGAATTCTAACATTGATTTGGAATAAAAGACAGTGGAAACTCACCAGCTGTGTGTGTGTAGGTATTTGGTGAGTACAAACGTCTTTCTTCTCCTTTTGTACCCTGCTGTTGACGGGTTAAGTAGATAAATCATTGGAATTGGTAAAAGTGTAAACCATATTTCCAAAGAAACCACAAATGTTTTTCCATGACGCAGCTGTGTTTTCAGATGCACGCACAGCATGTAGCCAATCTTTGAAGAAGGATGGATTACTAGATGCATCATCTCATTCAGGAAAACCACCACAAGACTGAGAAGTGAAGTTAAGCGAGGTTAACATTAACATTCTGCACTGCCTGTGAACTATTTTTAATCATTTTTGCGGGTCATCCCAGTGCACAGACAGTTTATTTCCTTTGCTTCTTGTGAGTATGAAAATGTGGGCAGAATGCTGTGGAGAGCAAAAAGTAGAGCAGTACGTCAGGTATATAATTATACTGTCTGTATATGGAAACTTTTGAATGAGGATGAGAATGAGGCACTTGGGTTTTACCTCATAAAACAATTTTTTTAAACTCTAAAGCTCTGACAGGATGTGCACAATTGGCATATTAGGGAGGCAGTTAGCACTAACAAGCACATCGGCTTTATCATCCAAATATCCCCTCTTCTAGTTTTTGTTTCTCTCCTGTATGACGCACACACCCAGACACACACATCTTTATCCCCTTATACTCGAAAAAGCAGTATTTAGTTCTCCTCCTTCCATTCCCTTGGCTGTCATTGGGGAAGGAGAGTGTGGCAACTAACTCAAAATAAATGGCTTAGTGAGGGGGCTGGAAATTGCTTCCCTACACACAGTCTTAGAAAAGCATCGGTGCTTTCAGTGGGCCAATGCTTCTAGTTGTTTTAAGATTGATATCCTGGGACTGTAGCTGCAGGTGTATCTCTGTCTGAGGACTTGTCTTAAAGTTCTCAATTGCTACTTAAGTCTACAACACCAGCATTTGGCCTTGAGGCAAACATCATAGGCCTAAAGGTTTCAAGCTAAATATAAACTTAAATTACTGCCTTGGGGTTGTAGGCCATTCCCAACCAATCAATTTAGGCCCACATGTGCCCACATTTATTATTAAATGAAGTGAATTCAGTAGATTAGTGTCACCAGTTCAGTTTCTGACCAAATTTAAGTAAATACGTTCGCAGTCTGTTATTTTGTAAAAGACTGTCCTGAAACATGTTCTCTAGAAAATTGACATGTAGTGGTGAAGCTGACCTTTGACCCTTAGGACATGAAATTTCACAGCTTAATTCATTTATCCTATTAGACATTGGTGAGAAATATAGTCACAATTAAATTACTTTTGTTTAAGGTCACAGTGAAGGTCAAAGTGTTAGTATTCCATCTGAAGAAATTATGAGATATGTTGCTCTTGAGAGTACGACCTCTGCAGGGTTGTACAGACAATGCGTTGAACCATGACTGTTTCTGACGCAGGAAGGATACATGTGGAAAACTGTAATATTCAACCAGGTCCATCATCCACTCTCCTGTCTCAAAGTGAGTGATTCACTGACATGACAGACTCCGTGACTGAATAACATGAAATCACAGTAATCTATATGTCACTATCTCCTGCTCTATTCTTTCTCACATTTGTTCCCAGGAGTGCAGGTAGTTATGCAGTGGTTGGCCTCACAGTAAGAAGGTCCTGTGTTCAAATCCACAGCTATTTTGGGCCCCATGCTGAGCCTGCACAGATTCTCTCCAGGTACTCTGACTTCTTCCAAACCTAGACATGGGGTGAGGGTACTCGTGGTGGTGCATTCCAGTGTGCTCATAGTGCCAGTCCCAAGCCAGGATAAATTGGGAGGGCTGTGTCAGGAAGGGCAATCTTTGCCAAATCAAACATCAAGAATGAGATTTCCATACCAGATTGGGTGCAGCTTGGGCTACTAACAATCGCCTCTGGTGCTGTTGGCCAAGAGCATGCCACCGGAAACTATGCTACTGTTGGCTGAAGACAAAGGAAGAAATGCGTATATCAGACAAGGAGATGACTCAGCTGTATAAAGTTAAGAAAAATGGATGGATGGATGGATGGATGTACACAATAGGAAGGGACAATAGATTAAAAAAATATCCTAAGTTCTTCTCTATTTAAGATTAACTTAAAATAACCAGGTATAAAGGCTGCTGATCTCTCTTTGCTGAAGCAAAGTTAATGAAACAGTTGATGTACAGACAGACTACATTAGGATAAATGTTCACTAACAAACAACTTCTTGTTCTCAACCTTGTAGAATTGTCTGTATCAGTGTGGCACAGCAAGAAAGGCACCCCGAGCTCAATGCATCGAATAAGAGGAGTTTGGCTATGTGGTGTGGTTTAATGGCTTGAACAAAGAGGTGGAGCAGGCTGGTTAAGGTTGGCACACAGCTACTAATCATGATCCCTCCTTTATAGTAGGTGTGGGCCCAGAGGAGTGACGCACGAATGAAATGCACTGAAAAGGCAGTGACGCTGCAGCTGGGGCAAAGTGTCGGAGCTGTGTGTGGCAAGAGCCCGTGGCTTATCTGTCATCACTATGGAGAACTTGTTACAGCTAGCATACACTTCAGGAAGTATTCTTTAAAGACTAAACAGGTGAGTTAAAGGAAGACAAAAAGTATTATTCATCACAGAGAGGAATTACATTTATTATTTTTAAATGCCAAGAACATGGGAAAAACACAACTGTAATGACATTTAAAGTTCTCTGTGCTACCACACGCTGTGTGGCAACCTTTGAAAAAAACAATCTCTATGGTGCTGAAGGCCTTTAAATCTGCTACATTTCACAAGTTTATCCACACGTAAAGAGATACAGAAAGCGTTTTTGAAAACAAATCTCTTAAGTACCATCACCAACCACAAACAAATGTTACAGTCATCACAAAGCAATAACTTAAGGACATCTGCACAAGCTCCACACCTGAACAGCAATAAACATGCTCAACATGTCAAAATCTCATGTGCCCATCAAGTCTCTATATTACACCTATAAAATA